GAGGCAACAAGATGGGCAGATATTGATTTTCTGGTCATGTATATTTGATTGAATCACCAGGTACCATTGGGCTAAGTGTTGACTGTAAATAAGCTTCCTGTTAAAAGCCAACTGTTGGAGCGAGGCTGAGATTTAGTTGGTGAAAACAGTCATGCTGATAAAGAGACATTTAAGTCCCGCCCCCACTGGAGAGGTAAACAATTAATTGCTCTCCACTGACTTTGTATTGCTTGAGGATGCCTCCTTGTCATTTACACCTGCTAGCAAACACCAGACAAATGCCAAAAAGCTCCTTTGTGGTGGGATGCACTGCCAACATGGTACAGATCCATAACCAAGTTTTTACAAGCTGCAAAACCAAAAATACTGAGCTTTTAAGCAACAATTTGTGAGGCATCAGCAGGAAGATATGTGTGATCCAGACACTCAGTATGCCTACGTGCAGCAAGCATTTTGCTAATTTGGCAAGAACAACTGTGGAGTTGGGAGCCCACTAAAATGATAATTTGACATGCGGGAAATCTAATGTTTTTAGCAACCTACAGACATGTTGGTAGTGTTTCAGCCCTTAGTTGCATATTGTGGCACCGATAGTTTTTCTCTTCGGTGGGTGTGGTTTTCAGAGTATGGTGCACTGTGCTCTGTGAGTGCCCCAGGAATGAGTACAACAACGTGGAAGTGAGTTAGCATTATACCACTCATGGTTACCTTGTTGTGAAGGAACCAGTGCGATGTAAACTTCCATGTCAGCCTATAGAAAAACATCGTCCCTGGAGCAATCTATACTGTATGATTGTAACGTTATTGCACAAGCCTCTCACTCAACATTAGTAACTGTCACCAGCATCATTTACCAAACTGATAGTGACTATTCATGCAGGGCCTACATTATGTTTCTCAACTCACAAGGTGAAAGCTTTGTTTTTCAGTTTTCTTTTCAATATTTTCCCATTTCTTTCTGACAGCAGATTTCTTTCCCCCAAAGGGGACAGTGAGGCGGTGATGAAGCGATGCCTGATCAGGTCTAAAGCCTGGAGCCAAAGCTCGAGCTGCTATCTCCTGTCTTTTTTATGACACGGCAGAGAAACAAATCAGAGATCAGCGCTTTTGCATTTATCGTTGGTGCAACCAGCTTCACAGCAACTCTTCGGCATTACATCATTAATTCAAACTTTTGTGTTTAAAGTAGAAATTTGGAGACATGTTTCATCCTCCTCTGTGTACACTGTAGTTTTCTTCTTAAAAGGGGGCATGTTGATGGGCGTCTACTCTGGATGACATGTTGCCAATCTAATGTATCAGATCTGTTATATTCACATCAGCCTCAGCTGTAGGCTGCTTTGTGTTTAGTTCTTATTAGCAAACGTTAGCATGCTGAAAGCTGTTAAACAATGGTAAATATGATAAACATCACACCTGCTAAATATGCCCAATTAAGCACTTTCATTGTGTTAGAAATGCCTCATGTCAGCATGCTAACGTCAGCATGGAGCTCAAATGCAAAGCTGCACCTGTGAAATGTGTTTGTATTTTTCACCCCTCAAACATCTTCAATAGGCGAGCTCTCACCTCACCTCACCTTACCTCACCTCACCTCATGAGCAATGTTTCTGTATTAGACATTTTTGATTTGACTTATCACACTGCTGCCAACCAGTAGTACTTTTCCTGCAGGTGCCTCCCTTTCAATAAACCAATTTTTATGTCAGTGCCCACCTCGGCCCTCTGTCCTGTAAACAGGCTGCCAATTTGAAGATGTTGCTTTAACCCTGTTTCCAAACCACAAGGTGTGCAAGAATGTGTCCAGCTGGCTGCCAGGTCCCCGTAAAATGAAAGCAAACATGACCACCTGTCCCCAGTATGCAGTGAGAGGACCAGAATCAGAAATGCATTATGGCTCCTTGTGGTTTTCCCTGTCAATCAAACAGATGAAAAATTTGACATGTTTTCCGTAATGCAGCTGCAAAAACCTTCAGAACAAACATCACAGTCCTTGAGGAACATCTGGAGCTTCCATGAGGGTGAATATGAGTTTTCCGTACTTTTCCTATGGGTTTTCACAACATGTAAGTATTTGGATGAAAAATACAAATGCAAAACAAAATACCTCGTCATTTGACCACATCTAATAGTTTGACTGAACTCTAAATAATAGACCTGCCTCCTTTGCACTGAGGTCATTTGTTCAGAGAACTGAAATAGAAAACCCCTCTAAAAGCATACTGATAAACAGCTTGTACTGGATCTTTCTGGAAAACCGATACCTCAGAGGTTATTTTGAGCACAGATTGTGCATCAAACAGCAAAAAGAAAAAAAAAGAATGCAGTCTATGAAACTGAATCTGTTCACATTGATCCAGGCCGCACAAAAAAAGCTGAACAATGTCTATAGCTGGTTATGAGGAAAATCCAGTCCTAGCCTTGTGTGTGTCATGAGCAAGTCTGACATGAAAAACTAGCAGTCGCGCACATCCAAAAACCATTTAAGACAGGTGCTGGACAAAAAAGAAAAGCAATAAACAACACTGTTGCTCCCTGCAATTTATTGGCACATCCACAAGTGACATTTCGAGCTTAATGCTCTTCTTCAAGTTCGTGGATGTGCCAGTAATGTGCAGACTTTTTTCATCATGAGCAAGTCTGCACGTTTAAACATTTCTGTTAAGTTTAAATTGCAGTGGCGCCCCAAAACAATTTTCACAGGGGCTGCCAATGGGGCTGCATTAAAATCTTTGGATGGCACACCAAAGCCAAAAGCCATAACTGAATATCAGGAATTCTATTATGCTGCTGAAGGAGGATATAGGCTAATTAAATACTATGTCAATATGTAGAGTTACAGAAGTGCATGCTGATATACTTTGGTGTCAGTTAATATTACTAATTATCTGATGTGCATAGACTAATACAAGTACAGTTAACATTTTGAGTTCCACAACAATCCTGTTTTAACGAGTTATGGGTCTATACATGTTAAGCAAATGATTGTTCTTCGGTTAGTCTGGTTGTCCTTTTACTCAAAAAGAAAAATAGCTTTAGTTTGAAGGAGTACAATGATTGCAAGTAACAAAACATTTACTAAGTGCAAGCCTTCTCAGGTTTAGGGAGGACTAGCACCTTTCAAAACACAGTTACAAAGTGCATTGCAATAAAACTTAACGTGTGTAAAACACAAGCAGAATGAAACCAGCTAAAATGTCTCCAAAGTAAAAGAAATAAAAGAAGGACAAACCCAAAATCAAGATAATAAACAAGAATTAAAATAAACAAGATAACAATGAAGTAAACAGACAGCTCAAATAAAATCAGGATATGCTTTCAATAAAAGTACATTTTTAGGAAAGACTTTAAAAAAGACAGTGACTCAGACAGCCTTTATCCAGAAGGTCGTACCAGAGCCTCAGGGCCCTGATTTCACAAGCTCTGTTCCCCTTTGTCTTCAGCCTGGACTCCAGAACAGACAAAAGACCTCTGCCTGAGGATCTCAAACTACACAAAGGTTCATAAGGGATTAAAAGGTCTGAAATGTAATTTGGAGCCAGGCTGTGAAGAGCCCTAAAATTAATCAGTTAGTTCTTAAAATCAATCCCAAAACAGACAGGGAGCCAGCGTAAAGAGGGTTAAACTGGTGTGATGTGATCACTTCTTGGTTCTTGCTAAAAGCACAGCAGCTGAGTTCTGTACAATCTGTAATCATTTAAAGGTTTTTTGTTAAGACTGTTCTGCATGTCTAAAAGTTAAAATAGATCTTATTTTTGCAGTTTTTCTGGGGTGATAAAACATAATTAGACAAGCTTAGTGATATGATATTCAAAACATAAATTACTATTAAACATGACACCAAGATTTCTTGCAACAGGCTTGACCAACCCGGTCTCACTCCAAAGGCATTGACATCTGGCGCTAGGGCAGTGACTTGAGGTGGCAGACACTGACGAAAAAAGTCATCCTTTAACGTCGGCATGTTACGCGGCTGGTCGCCGTTATCGTGTATCTGTGCTCGGTGGCATCAAGGGGAAACGCAGCAGGACAAGAACAAGAGTTAAGGTGGAGAAAGTTCAAGTAGGGTGGGCAGGAGTGGTGGTGGATGGGTCCAAAAAGCACCAACTTTTACCCAGGAGAGCGGTGTTTGCGTCCTGCAGGATTCTAAAGCCAAACCCTGTTCTTTTTTCCTAAACCCAACCATGTGCGTTAGTTACTGGAGGGAAAAAACATAAGTTAGTGTTCTTGTGCTGACGTAGTGCATTTATGTTGAAAGAAACTGTATGTAAACGCTAAATGTTGTATGTGGATGTGGGAAGTCGGTGACCAAACCTTGATATGTGACGAGGTCAGAGTAAGAATGTGTTGGCTTGATATGGGACACCACTGACTCAGTGATCTCCTGATCCCAGCATTATTAAGATGTTCATGGGGTCTGTGTTCAGTGCGTTGGGCTTGTGTTCTGATCACCACGCTGCTGGTAGCTAGGCTATATCATCTTTTTTGCATCTTTTTTATGCAGGTTTTATGTGACACTATATCAACCCATTTTCATCCAGATATCTTGAGCAGAGACCTCAAGGGACCCCTGTGAAAATAGCTGCCACTTGTCCCTTAGCCATAATATAGGGGGTGGGGGGCAGAAACTGTAACTGCCCCCCCCCTTTAGGGTCGCCACTGTTAAAAGGTGACAGCGGCTGTACAGTAGCTTTAGTGTACACAAAGATAAAACGGGCCAATTTGAGATAATTTCTTGGAAACCTATGTGACACACATAAAGTGAGTAACAGCATTAAAGCGCGCTTACTGTCCGTACAGTTAATATCAACAGAGAGAAGCGACAAAGAAGCGCAGCAGAGAGGATGAGACGTGAACTTGAGTGTGTGCGTGCGCGTGTGTGTGTGCCGGGGGGGTGCACAGCTCGGCAGCAGAGACGCCCACACAGACTGAAGGCACATAAAAACATGCCTCAGTATTTCAGTGTCAATGAGGATCCTTTACAACCTTCAAGCCACCATGAAGCAGCCGGACACATTCAGCCATGGGAAATACTGCAGACAGCGATGCATTGGACTTAATCAAAGACAAACGTGATTTCCGATCTCAGGGAAAAGACTTTTTTTTTCATCTGTTCCGTGGACTTTTTCTATCTGTGGATATCTGACAAGTGAAAGTATTGTCTTATTGTTCAGTTGGACCGGGAAGGATATCTGAACTATGTAGTGGTAAGTCATTAGTCTTTTTAAAGCTAATGATGGAATTAAGTTATTTTGCTAAGAGAAAAATAGCCTAAGTTATTAAGAGGTCCTGTTCATACTTTCTTGCACCCTGCAAAAGTGCACAGTATTCTGCTGGAGCTGGAGCAAATCCACCATATTAAGGCTTTACCTCCACAACTAACAGATTGCTCAGTGGGAAATTGTACAGAGCAAGACATTATGTTTTTGTTTATTTGTTTGTTTGTTTGTTTAAATAATCTGATGTCTATATAGAACACGATCTGCTCAGATACAGAAACCAGTTATTGGACTTTCTTTACATCACCCTGGACCTCAATTTTTATTCATCCTGAGGGGGGGTTACAAAATAATCAGATTTTTAAAAGTATTAAAACTCAGTCTGAAAAAAAAATTGTATTATTGGACTGGGATTTTTTCCTACACTTTGAATAAAAGTAAGGCACCAGAGTAGATTAAAAAGCATCAAAATAGAGCATTTTTATTTAAAAATAAAAGTGCGCGGAGTATCCCCACAGCACCCCTGACAGGAGTCTGAGCTAAGCCCCCAGTTCCTAGAAAGGCACACACTTGTGTGCACCTGACCTGTCAGAAGTCATTGTGACTGGATTTGCTTCTTGGCAAAGATGAGTGAGGATAGGTTAAAACAATTCATTTATTATAAATACTGATAACAAGTTTTAATGTTTGTTTATTAACTGGCCCCTGCTCAACTGTCACTCTGCAAAAGTGGCCCCTGGGCAGAGCAAGTTGAGTATCCCTGGCTTAATCCAAAGCTCAGCTGTAGTGTGTTTAATATATTGATTTCTGTTGGTGTGTTGCTGGGAGCAGTGTCCTGTTTATGACCTGTGTTTGACCTCCATCCACACTACACCTGAGTGATCAGAGTCCACTCTCCATCGTATAACACCACAGCTCTGACAGTTGTGCTTTGCTCTGATGCGTCAGGCTGGACATCATACGCAGGGTGAACAGCTGTCAAGCAGGTTCAAAGGGGATTTTAGTAAAAAAAAACCCAAAAAAACAGGTATAGTTAGATCCTCAGTTATCTTTGAGGAATTTGTAGAAGTATGCATTTAACGGTTTAAGTTAGAAGTCCCTTAACCTTTGTGGTAAAAGGTATGAAGAAAATATAGCTTGCATCGTCACAAATTGAATGAAAAGACTTCTCATTCAATTTTCATAGCTTGGTGTTTGGCTGCCATTAGCTGTCACAACAACTTCAGTGCTCCATGTTATAGATCCTCCAAGTGTATGTCTTCAACTGGAGGGACTGAACACCTTTCATTCGAAATGAAATCCCTCATTAGATGTTTTAGGCGCTGCTCTAAAATCTTCTATAGATGTTCATGTAGCTTGAGATCTGGTCACTACGACCATAGCATGATGCACATCATTTTCGTACTCATAATACCATTTATTGAGCGCTTGAGCCCCGTATGGACAAATGTGCAATGTTTCCTCACTCATTTATTCAGTTTTTTTCTTTATTTTTCCGTGTATATGTGGAACTTTTGTAGTTTTTAAAGATTACCCTTTCAATATAAGCAAAACAACAGTATTGTACTTATGCATTGATCCTTTTGTGTAGATTTCTTGGGTGTTGCAGGGGATACGTCTTTCTCAATATTATGAACATGCTTGTGCATGAATATTTAAACAAAATTAAAGACATTTACACCACTAAATGATGCAGAAAATGTACATATTGGAGCATAAAAAATCACCAGAATGGAGGAAATTAGGTGTCTGACGCTCAAAATTCTCTGGTAGATGACCTTCAACCCCCGATTTCACATGTGTCCCCTTCAACATTGAAACGAAACCTAAACCCTTCTGTGGATCTCATTTGATCTTCTCTCTTTTGCAGCCTCCTTTAACTATGGACCTACGGACCCTCAGAGTACAGTGATGTTAGCTCTGAGCCACTACAACTCCTCAGCCCCCCCGCTTCTCCCCCGTTTCTCTAATGACAGTGGAGGGAGGGTGGAGGCCAGGGTGGCTGTTGAAGGGCTATCGCAGCAGGGAAACCTCACCTTGGTGCAGCCCACCACCAGTGGCGTCATTGTCGTTGTGTTGTCCATGACACTTGGCATCATCTCCAACATTGTGGCTCTGTTTATCCTGGCCAATGCCTACTCCCGTCAGCCCCGACGCACCAAAGCCACGTTCCTTCTGTTTGCCACTTCACTGGTGATCACGGACTTCATCGGCCATGTGATCCCTGGTGCCCTGGTTCTCCGGCTCTACCTCTCTGGAGGTGTGCAACCTGAGGACTTTAACTCCTCTGATGGGATGTGTCAGTTCCTGGGTGGCAGCATGGTGTTCTTTGGCCTGTGCCCGCTCTTCATGGGCTGTGCCATGGCTGCTGAGCGCTGCCTGGGTGTCACCAAGCCGCTGCTGCACTCATCCCTGGTCACCAAAACCCGAGCAAAGATCTGCTTGTCAATCATCTGGTTGGTGGCTCTGTGTGTGGCCCTGCTGCCGTGCTTTCAGCTGGGCTCTTACTCCTATCAGGACCCAGGGACCTGGTGTTTCATTAAAGTGCTCAGTGACACTCAGGAGGTGGACATGGCATTTGTGACGCTCTTTTCTGGACTGGGTTTGACCTCACTAGCTGTGGCGTTGGTGTGTAACACCATCAGCGGACTGACGCTGGTGCTCGCTCGGCTCAGGAGGCAGCCGGGCTCCCTTCATTCATCCAAGTCCCATGACATAGAGATGGTGGTGCAGCTGGTCGGCATCATGGTCACCTCATGTATCTGCTGGAGTCCTCTGCTGGTGAGTATTAGGAAGTACAATGAGAGGGAAGCATACAGTCAGGTCATAATGAGGTCACATCACCTTTAATTCAGTTTGCATTAGTAAAAGCACTATAAAAAGTATTAGTGCAGCCTGGCTGTTATCTGTACAAGCCAGTATCAGCTTTAGAAAACAGCATCAGCTCACTATAACATATAATGTTCCTCACACAGGGGTTGTCACTCATTGTTGCCTGATTGGTGTACACACTGTGCTTGATTAACAGCTCTTTCACTGTCTTGTCAGCTTTGTTGCACCTGTAAGGATGGATAAATTTACACCATTTACAGTGGTGCCTATAGTGTGCTGACAGCATGTAATTTCCAGCATAGCTTTACTCCACTTCAGCCTTGACTGTGTTCAGCCTTAACAAAACATGGCAAAATGTGTTGAACACCATCTTGTGTTATCCAAGCACACTGCCTTTTAGTATGTTGGGGTTCATTTAATTCAATTCAAACAGGCTTCATTGACACGTGGAACATATGTTCACATTGCCAAATAAAGTGTGACATGTTAACAAATAATGTAAGTACAATGAGTCAGATCTGTGATTGGGTAACCCCTCTGACACTCCAACCAAACAAGAGAAAACATAACTCAAAACCAGCTGCAAACTGTTTCAAAATAGTACGTATTTCAACCCAGAAACTGTAGCGAATCTGTGCACACCAATTCAAGATCGAACGTGGCTCTTACAAGGGTAACTGAAAACACCTGTGTGAATGTGCTGGGACTTCAAGTATTTTTACTGCGCTCATTTGTGGAAAGGATTATCTACCAGGATTATGTCACTTAATACGAGTGCTGTGTTAGCAACAGATGAAAAATATTGTTGTCATTTTTAAAAACAAAACATAAGACTGTGCGGTTTGTAGCTGGATCTAGTAGCACATAAATAAGCCTCTGCATTAGGACATTGGTGAAGACCAGAGACAGACTCTGGGACATTTATTCCTTTTATGTTGTGGAAACAATAATCATCAAAGAGAGGGACTCAGTTAGACCAGAAACAGTAAAAAAAAATCTATTTAATCAATGGCAAGTAAATGGGAAACTGTAATAATCCAGTGTACTGTACCATCAACAGGAAAAAGGGTCTTCTAACAAACGCTGATGGCAGATTCTGAAGCAGTGAAGGCAGATCAATACTTCCAGTAATTATACACACAGTCTTCTCCTCAGTATCCGCTCCACTGTCAATACGGTCAATTTGAAAAAAACTCAATCCATCTCACATTAGATCACCTTCAGGGTACATGAACACTCCTTGTGGTGCATGCACTATTTGCATCTCTGCAGCTGTTACCTTTAAAACCATCTTGCATGTGACTTAAGAATTCGCATGACACATTGCTCTTCCTTACATGATAGTATGTGACAGCTTTTAATAATTTATTGATATCAGTATTGGTGATTCTGCCATATTATTATTCTATCAAAACTGCATTGGAATCAACAAATGCCAGGCAGTGAGGGCAGTTCAGTCCAGCCAGTTTTAGTCTTTTTTTCAAAAAGGAAAGGAGAAGCCGAGCCTGACCTTTCATCAGTTCAGGCGTGTGGCTTGTCAGGTTAAGTTACAGTCACACCCAACTATGGCGCGCAGGAGGGAAGATTTTTAAAAACACTAAATTACCTAAAGGTAGGTCTGAAGTGCTTATCTTACCCTAACATGTCACATAGATGCATCTGTGCTGCCATGCTCACAAAAATAAAAGTATCTCCTAATATTCAAAGGTGGTGTAGCCAGTTTAATTTTGCTGTCAAAAATCCCATCATAAACTTTAAACGTATTGTAATTCAAATGCCCTAAGAGAACTCCAGGCGTCTGCCCCTTCACTTATCTCTGTGTGTAGGCTTTAGAAAATCTAACGTGAGACTTTGGCCAATCACAGGCCGTTTTCAGAGAGAGCGGCTGTCAGTCATCAATCACTGCTGCTGAACTGCGGTCATACTGTTAAACTAGGCAGCGCTGATCAAATATGAATCAAGATTCTGTTTCTGTTCCTGTCAGAAACATGTTTGAGTGTACAGTGGCATGGTGGTGCAGTGATTAGCATTGTTGCCCCACAGCAAGAGGGTTCCTGTTTGAACTCAGGGCTCGACTCATGCTCCAGCTTCCTCCCACAGTCCAAAGACATGCAATTTTGGTTAATTGGTGATTCTAAATTGCCCACAAGTGTGAATGGTTGTCTGTCTCTATGTGTCAGCCCTGCGATAGTCTGGCGACCTGTCCAGGGTGTACCCTGCCTCTCACCCAGTGACAGCTGGGATAGGCTCCCGCCCCCCCATGACCCCCAACAGGATAAGTAGTTATTGAAAAAAAATGAATTTTAGTGTGCAGTTTAGCTGTAACATGGCAAAGTTTGTGACCCGGCCACCATGTTGAAAGCAAAAACGAAGGAACACCCACCAGTCACGGCAATCTTTCTCATGTTACAGCCTAACAATACACTAAAATATGTTTCTCAGAACATTTAAGGTGAGAAACAGGCAATCCAATAACAGAATCTTCAATATTTGTTAGGTGCTGCTGCCTAGTTTGACAGTTTGACCACAGTTCATTAGCAGTGATTGACATGATTGACAGCTGCATTAGAGACTCCTCGGCTCTGACTGGTTGATGTCATGATTCTTTACACTTTGAGGAGGCACTACAGCATGATAACAGAGATAATCTGCCTTATTTAGGCTACTGCTGTCAGGATATAGTGACAGTTATTATTTATTTTTTGTTATACACTACATTTTAGTTGTAATGTGATCATGCAAAAGCAATATTGGTGTATCCATGGCTGAATACCAAAATGACTGCACTCATCAGGAACCTCAAAACATCAAAATAAACTAGATCACCATGAGAACTGATTCATTTCAGCTTTTCTATCAATGCAATGTTTTTTCTTCCTCATCATGTAATAATTACAGTCACATCTTTCATGCCTGCAGATCTTTGGCCTGATATCAGCGATCCGCTCCTACACAGGAACCATCGGAGAGGACTTGTCCAGCTATAAAACCCTGATGGTGATGGGTGTGAGGCTGGCCACGTGGAACCAGATCCTCGACCCCTGGGTCTACATCCTGCTGCGCCGCACCGTTCTCCGCAAAATCTACCTCATCGTTAAGTGCCAGGCGGGACTGAGGGGTAATATTTTAGGCCGCTGGGAGCCCACCTCTTTCCCCAGCTCAGAGAAGAATGATGTCAACCAAGTTTGAGCCGAGAGAAGGACCCTACTGTGGATGTACTGTGTCACCGAGTCATCGGGCATATGAAGAATTCTACAGCTGAAAACATTTAGAAAGAGAGACCCACGTAGAAGCATGAGGAGGGAACTAACTTTGTGGCTTTGGAGCCGATCAGATTAGACATGCAGTTTGACATTTCTCGGCTGGTCCACTTCAGAAATGCTTATTCAATCAGAATATATCTTTCATACTCCACAAAGGTTTACAAGTGAGTTCATTGTCTGACCTTACAAATGGAAGCTAGCTAATGCTATGATTTTGCACATAAACTTTCTACTGTTTACTTACAATAAGTGAACATTACCATTATTTTTGTATTCTCATTTGGAAACTCATAGTAACAAAGGGCAGAGATGAAGGCCACATTATATGACTGCAGTACTAAAAACACTCTGTCCTGAAAGACTCTAAGATTTGCAGGAGTGATACTTAAAGAGGGACTAAGTTTTATTTGGTTTTATTTCTCTGAAAAGTTAATTTTCACCATCTTTGGAAGTAAAAAACAAATTGCACAGTGATTTGCTCCTACATTGGATGAATGTGGAAAAATTGAGCTGTGTCGGTATAACCACCAGGGGGAGCTCCAGATGAAACCAGAATATTTAGATTGTATTCCTAATTTTAGTTATTCTGCTGAATGTATTCTACGAAGGATTATAAATATTCAAAAACTGTGGAGTTTATGTATGTTTAAGTTTAAATATGCTTGTTTATACAGTGCTTTATGTGAAATAATGTAAGATTTTATAAGTTAATACTTGAATGGTACCCTCAATTTACTGAGGATATGTATAGAACCTTAAATTGAATGTAAATAAAGCAATGAAATGTGACTAAGTTTTACTCTCATTTTTTGCTAGAGTACTTTTCCTCTATTTTCCTATAAAATAGGTCAGAGTTGAGGAGGAAGATATTTATATAGTCACAAATATGTTACACTGCATACAATGGTGAAGTTCTCCAACTGTTAAATATAGTACATATGATATAGATTAATCTGGCTAGATAGTGCTTTAAGGCAGTGTTACTTTAATTGATTTTACAATGAAATTATAGCACTAAATTTTGTATCGTTGGACTTAATTATTCTGCCTTCTTTCCTGAGTGTTAAAGATAAAAACCTGGATTGTGCATGACTATGTTGTTAAGAATGTACTCTGAGAACAGAGAGATCTGCAGCAGGGATTACCTGCTGATTCATTCTGCATTTCACTTCCCGTATGACAACAATGACGGATCGAAAAGGACTTTCCATGAAGGTCATGCGGATAATAACATAATAAATCAAGAACACTGTTGAGCAAATCTTTTTGATTCAAGACTGATTCATTTGCTATTTCCTTACTAGGGCAAGTGTCTAGGCAGGTAGTCTGGCTCCAGTGTGAGTCGAGTTTAGATTAGGGGTGGTGCTTTAATGAAATACTATTATCATTAGCTTTGTAGCTTAGCTTTTTCCTCCCCTGCATCATCTCTTTCCAGCCATGTTCACGTGTTCTGCAGCTGCAACATTTTTTCCTTCTTATTCCACAGGCCTGAAAAGCTAATTTCTGCCAATTGCAACTAGTTGGAAACAGACAAATGTGTCTAGATGACTCAGTCTGAAGTGCTCGTACAACAGTGTACTGGTATGTAGCTGGCACAAAAGCATCTGCATTCTGTTCACAATCTGGAATATGTATAAATGATAAATTAGTAGGGGAAGATGGAGGAAGACAAAGTCAGTTGACTGTAAAATTAAAAAATATTTGGATATGAGTTTTGATGATGCATAAACCAACACACTGTTGGGACAAATAAATTGGTAAAATGGTTATTTACATTGTAATAACAGAGAGATGATATCTTTAACAAGCAATCTAAGGAACTATAACAAAGTAAAATCTCAACCCCAATCCATCAACCCTAAGACATCCAATCTAGATGTCTTGTAGCCTTTCCTAAAGGCTAATGGTTTATATTTCAGGATGCTTTCCTCTAGTAAGCTTGCCAAAAAATGTTGGCTAATTCTAGATAGCCAGCAATGCTAATGATTGCTAGCTGGTTAATAACAATAGCACGCTGTTGAAACAATACTATTACAATACAATACTACTAGCCTACTTAATGTAGATCTGTACTAGGCCTATGTAAAAGCACATGACTAAGCTACTAGAAAATCTAACTAGATCGTATTTTCTTTTGGGATGCCACTGGGGGTGCCCTCTTTCTGAGTGGACTTCATGCCCCAAGGGTGTATATTCTACTTCAAATGAGAAAAATATTTCTTTTCTCTCAAAATCAATTGACCAACTATCTCAGCCATCAAAGCTTTTTATGTAAAACTTAACATATTGAACAAAAATGTTGGCTTTTGCTCCAATTTCTCACAGGTTTAAGTTAAGATCTAAAACTCTTTTATGCACTCAATAGATAAATTTCTCTCAGATATTGGCCAGCAATTTGTTAAAATCCATGTTAGTGAACACTGCTCCTTTTTCAAGATAATCCATCCCCCTGACAGGTGTGACATATCAAGATGCTGATATTAATGATGCTGGATGCTGGGTATTAATGCTGCTGACAATATCATTAATATCCACGTGTCCCTTGGGATGGTCACAGTAAAAGACCTCTTTAAAATGTGCAGTTTGATCACACAGCACCATGCCACAGATGTCTCAAGTTTTGAGGGAGCTTGCTACTGGCGTGCTGATTTCAGGAATGTTCACCAGAGTTGTTGCTCATGAGCTGAATGTTAATTTCACTACCATAAGACGTCAACAATGTTGTTTCCCTGAATTTGGCAGTAGTACATCCAACTGGCCTCACAACTTCCCAAGAGGGTGGTTGCAATGACAAACTGCTGTCAGGGCCAAGACCCTGCAGAGGAGGATGAAAATGCAGATGAGCTTCACTGAGATGATTTCTGGTGGTTTGTGCAGAAATTCTTCGGTTGTGCAATCCAATTATTGCATCAGCTGTTTAGGTGGCTGGTCTCAGGTGATGTTGCAGGTGAAGAGAGTGGATTTGGAGGTCCTGAGATGGTGTGGTTACACGTGGTTTACATTTGTGAGGCCAGTTGAATGTCCTGCCAAATTATTGTAAACGACATTGGAGACGTCTTATGGTAGTGAAATGAAAATTCAGTTAACATGCAACAGCTCTGATGGACATTCCTGCAGTCAGCATGCCAATAGCAAGCTCCCTCAAAATTTGAGACATCTGTAGTGTTGTGTGATCAAACTGCAAATTTTAGGGTGGCCTTTAATTGTGACCATCCTAAGACACACCTTTGTAGTAATGATGCTGGTTAATCAGCATCTTGATATGCCACACCTGTCATGTGGATGGATCATATTGGAAAAGGAGAACACAGATTTTAACAAATTTGCAACCAGAATGTGACACAAATATACCGATTTTAAAAAAAATAAAAAAGTCTTAGATCATTAAATTAAACCCGTGAAAAATGAGAGCAAAACAAAAGTGGTGGGTTTAAATTTTTGTTCAGTGTAATAAAAACATAGACCACTATTAGGCTATCCAATGGCCAAAAAAAAGATCAACTGCAATAAATCTGAAGTTTGCAGCAGTCCAGATGCATGGCAATTTCATTCATGTGTTGAGTGTAGCTTTAGCACCATCTATTGGTTAAGAAAGGAATTACTTATACAATAAATAACTAATTGGCTCTCCAAGTGATAAACTAATCTCTTGCTTACAGATCCAACTCCACCAGATGACATTAACTTTTGTCTTGGTAATTTTTCACCTATATTATAACTACTCCCACTCTTTAAACCTACAGTGTACTGATGTTAGCCTAATATTCATACCATCACTTTACAAACACCACAAAAACCCAGCTTCTCTTGTCTTTTTCTTTGTTGGCAGTGTTTTCCCTTATTTTAGAAGGTTGTGTAGTAATGTCATTTTCAGGCATATACACCATGGATGTAGGTATACACCAACAGTTTATGGTAAAGGCTACACCATGAAAAGGATAGTGTAAATGTGAGACCTATATCTGCAAGAAAGCAGTTGACCCTGTGCTGATAGGTTGCATGAAGCTGAGCGTAAAAAGAGAGAGATTGATTAACAGGATGGTAGATTCATGAAGACGCATCAAAGATCTGTTAGAGATAGGGGACACACAGGCGCAGGGGGCTTTATTTATGTTTATTTATTTATAAATAAAGCAGGTATTGGTGCTAAATAAATACTGTGAAAGTAAAAAACAAAACAAAAAAATGTCTTTTTTACAGACCTTTAGTTTTCATTTTTTGATTTAACATGTGTAAGAGTCATGACAACCATACAAATGCTGGAATGTTTTACAGTGTATGTGAATGACATCAGCTGACAGAGGCAAACATGGACCCATGCTGTTGCCTAGCAATGTAATTCCAGTGAAACAACCTTACACTCCTATGGAAATGACCCATGAAGATAGAAAAATAGAGCTGTATCTTACAGGCAGACAGTATATAAAAAATGATGTGGTTTTTTTTTTTTTGTTGTTGTTGTTGTTGTTTACATTAAAGCATGTTAAGATATTCTGGTGGAAACCTAAAATTTAAGTATGAATCTGAATATGAGCATAATATTGCATAATATTTCCATGAAACAGGTTTAAGAATTTAACTTCTTCATGGACTGTGTAAATGGGTCCAAGTGTATTTCCTGACAAAAAACTAAAACGTCTATAGTTTCCTTGGCAGCTGACAGGAAGTAGGGACCCAGGCTGTTGCCATAGCAACAGAATGGACGTTACACACTCCAGCACAGGAGGTGGCGGCATTTAACGTTGGTTTTCCAGTAAAACCATAGAAGAAGAAGAGGAAGCCATCTTCAGGCGGCCCTTAGGTCGACAGCTACATTACACTATAAAGGTCTACACCTTTATCCGCTTATTGTTACAGGTAAGCTTTAACTTCACTATGAAACTTCAACAAAATAAAGCGGTTTTGTGCAAAAACGACACCTCCATTGGATGACAGGCAAAAATGGCAGCGGCATGCTGAGTAACGTTAGCTAGCTCGCTAGCATCAAGGGTCGGTCATGGCTATAAACATTAGCTAACGTGCGTTGTCACAGTTTGTCGCAGTACCTTTGTTCAGTAGGTTGGGAAGATAAATTACAGTGTCGTTGGACAGCTGTGTTAGATCATGCGTTTAATCTGTGACGCACCAAACTACACATGCATCTCTGTTCATTTGTAGTCAGAATAGTTTCTTCTGAACGTTAGCTTGTTAGCTAACAGTATATCATGGATGTGGGTTACTGAGCTAACGTTAATATCATTCATTACATTTAGCTTGAATGTATGCTGCAAGTTAGAGCTCCAAAAGTTTGGACACACTATCCGGCTTTCTTGAATGGTAAACTGTGTCCAGACTTTTCTCCGTTACTGTGTTCAACGTTACCAGTTGTGCACAGACTTGTGAAGGTTTTTTCTTTCTCCAAGAGGTGGTAGCGTCGGCCCGGAAGTCGTGACAGCATGGCGGCAGCTGCAGGGCAGTGGGATGAGCATCAGGCGTATGAGGAGCTGCTGTACTGGGACAGCCTCATACAACAGGGCCACCGTCTCCTCCCGCATGATTTTGAAAGGTAACGTTACACACACAACATGTAGTGAATGGCCAGCTAACTAGGTTGCTCCTTCTTCTGCTTTAAAATGTAAGCTGACAATAAAACAAGTGACAACCTGAGTATCCTGGTGTGCGCTGGAACTACTATATTTATTGATTCTTGTTGATTATCTTGCACTAGCTGGCACCCAGGAGAGAGGCGCAGCTTTGCAGGGTTTCTCCAGTTTTTTGGCCAGCTAAGGAGTTTTACATTAAATCAAGTATGTGATGATCTGAGAGAAAGGCAAAGCAATTGGAAGTTGTAGGGTTCCTGGTTTGAACCCAGGGTGGGGGAGCCCTTTTGTGCAGAGTTTGCATGTTCTCCTTTTGTCAGCGTGAGTTTTCTCCAGGCACTCCAGCTTCCTCCCAAAATCCAAAGACACGCAGGTTAGGTTAATTGGTGACTCTAAATTGCCCCTAGGTGTGTGAATGTGAGTGTGAATGGTTGTCTGTCTCTATGTATTAGCTGTAGCAACCTGTCCAGGGTGTACCCCACCTCTCGCCCAATGTCAGATGGGATAGGCTTGAACACTGGAGCTGGTCTTCACAGCTGTCCTGATTTTGTCATTTCCTCCCTCCAGATATGAGGAACTCCGTTACTGGTATGACTGCCTGTGCTACGAGGAGGAGCTGAGACAATATCATGATTACATTGCTGCTATGGAGCATGTTGAGGACAGTCGGCCACATGAGGTTCGTATAAATCGTCCCGCACTGACATGATACTCCATTGTCTTCTTAATTTGAGTCATTTAATCCACTTCTTCAAAACGCCACGATAAGACTGATCATGTAATGTTTTCCAGTTTCTGTTGTACTTAAAAAAGATTGCTCTTCCTCTTGCGTGAAAGCTCTATCCGGTGCATGTTTTTTCCCCAAGTGTTTTTAATATGCACTTCCTAACTAATAATATTATACTTCCCAATTCTATTTTTACTTCACATATTGCATGATATTGCTTTTTCACTGGAATACATCTACGTAGCAACAAACTGGGCAAGGACTGCCAGAACTGCTTTTAATGAATACTTGTCATAATTTATTTGTTACAAAAATAATTTAATATATGATTACAGTATAAACTAAAGGTATGTTTTTTCTCAACTACACTTTGTTGTTCATTTTTCCAATATAAACCCTGCTTATTCTGATTTCCCAATTAAGGACACTGCGGCCCCAAAGGTGCACGCTGGGCCATATGATCGCCATGTGATGGCCAAACACTCTGATGTGTATCCTTCACCAGAGGAGCTGGAGGCAGTGCAGACAATTGTCACTCGTGTGGAATGTGCCCTTAAGACAGTCTCTGACCAGATGGATACTGCGAAAGGTGTCAAAAAATCAACAGAGGCAGGGAGGTGAGCAACATGTAAATGCTGCGTTGCCGTTGTCCCAATAATTTAAAATGTATATTTTCTGCCATTTAAAATATTTTAATGCAACATTTTTCCTCTCTATATCAATGATTAAATAATCGTTTCATTTGGTTTTTCTCTTGACAGTAAAAGCAGTGATTCGAAAGAGCGTGTCCTGCGTGGAGTTATGAGAGTCGGCCTGGTGGCCAAGGGACTCTTGCTAAAGGGTGACAAGGAGCTGGAGCTGGTGCTGCTTTGCTCCAACAAGCCTACCATCACTCTGCTAAATCAAGTGTCTGAAAAGTTATCCGAACAGTTGGAGGTAGGACTGAGTACCTACAGTTGTTTTATACCATTTTCTATAAAAATGTTTAACAGATTTTTAATTAGGTCTTTGTTTCTTGAATATCATGACTCTCTCTTTGCTTTCCTGATGTTTCTATGTTCTTCTTCTTAAAGGCAAGTTCAGCTGGAACGTATACAGTGACCCCATGTCCAGGGGATGCAACCCTTGTTGTGACAACCACTAAGGAGTCAGCTCTGACTCTCACTATCCACCTGACATCACCTCTTGTCAGGGCAATGCAGGAGAATAAAGCTGCAGAAAGAGAAGAAAAAGGAGAGGCAGAAGGAGAAGAAAAAGGAGAGGCAGGAGGAGAAAAAGGACAGGCAGATGGAGAAGAAAAAGGAGAGGCAGAAGGAGAAGAAATAGGAGAGGCAGAAGGAGAAGAAAAAGGAGAGGGAGAAGGAGAAGAAAAAGGAGAGGGAGAAGGAGAAGAAAAAGGAGAGGGAGAAGGAGAAGGTACGTATGTTAGTCTAGTCACCAACATCAGCTCCCGCAGGCCTGATCTGTGTGTTCTTAGTATGTGGACACTGTACTCCTCCACTGATCTGTAACTCTGCACTGACAACTGAAACGCCACACATGTTGTCCATCTTCATCTCATTTACCCTCAGTGGAGCTTGTACAGTGGCTCTCTCAGACCGATGGCGGTGAACAACCAATGAAAATTGGCTCTTCACTGGCTCTAGAGTCCTGTCGTCGTTTTGGGATCAACTGGCGTTTGCCAGCACTACATTTCTTGTGTAGTCGTTGATACATTCTGCACATGTGATAACAATCTCACAGTCATAAAAACAACATTGTTTATTCTTGTTGAATTGTTTTCATATTTAAAGTGAAGGCTTTTCAAGAATAACAAGTTAAAGCGCGCATTGCATGTACTTGATGCTGAAAATGTACATTTTGCACCAGCTGCAGCAAAACTGATAAATACATAAAACTGACAATGAAGATATCTCTGTGACTTCCCTTGGGAGGATTTTAATTCAACCGGAAATAAGTAGATACAGTAAATCACTGTTTGTTTATAGATGAATGTGTTGGTTAGTTGTTAGTGTTTGTAGAGCTTCTATGTAGATCAGCTTAAGCTGTATTTACATAGGAGTCTAAAGTTTTAGTGGGTTCATTTAAAAGTCAAGGGGAGTGCTGAATCCCCACTTGCAGAACCATACCAGTCTCAGTGCAGTTTTAGTCCATTTACTACACTGCACACTGGGGCTGCAAACTTAAAATTGTGAAAATAATTATGATCACGATTTTAGCTTTTACAATCATCCAGTCTTCATTAGTTGCAGTTTGAAGGTCTTTCACTGGTGCATAAATTCAAGTGCTCCCAAACAAACAAACTGCCTGACCAGTCAGGTGTTTATCAGGAATAGTGTTTGACAAAAGCACAATGGTTTGTAGACTCTTATAAGACAAGAGTAAATGGTACAAATAAAATACATTTTTATACTGTTTGCTAAAGCCTCTTTCCAGCTGGACAAAATAACACTAACACCCACTATCATCTGGCTTTTGTATTTAATGGGAAAGGTTTCACTTCACATTCACGCCCGGGACAAATAACTCTGCGGTAGTCACAGGTATTTAAGGCTCCAGCTCCGATTAGCTTTGATCGGCAGTGATGAAAGTATAACATCCAGGTGGATGTGCTAATATAAGCCCCTTAATGGGCGAGATGCATTGACGCACCACCACAAAATTCCGCCTGTCTCTGTTCAAGCAGTGCTCAAACATTGTTTCAACTTTGTAGTTTGAGAGAGAGTATTTCAGTTTTATTAATTATAATCTTATTTTCTATAATTTGGGCTATTATCATGCAGCCCTGTTGCAAGCATATTTTACTCTTCTGTCATCTGTTTCCAAGTGTTTTAATCTGTCCTATCACTCATGCAACCGTTCATTGTGGCGCAGAATGAAAATCAACTCAAAGAAGCATTAAACTTTGGATGACAAATTAGTTGAATTGCATTTTAAGTGTAGAAAATGAGCTAAAACTTGCACTAAGCTGGTATGGCCCTTTGTGTTTCCGATCTTTCATAAGTCCTGTTTTAGCCACCTTTAGATTAGGGACTCCATCAGTTTTGCTGCAGTGTGGGGCAGACGTGAAGATTCTCACAATGCTTGTGATTTGCAATTGATTGCCTTTTAGTCTGTCAAGTTTTTTTAGGAACGCTGGACCTTTGACCAACTGGACACTGTCTCAAGAGTGGGGGGAAGCAGCAAACTCAAGCTGAGGGGCTGAGGAAAGGGGGTATCTATTGTAGTCCATACATAAAAAACATGCTATGCATTGTCGTAAAAACTACTGTGTCTTTATGACAGTATTTACTCCCACTTTTCACACACTGTGGAAAAGTTAGCTGGGATCTCTGACAGGTGAATAATATGCTTGCTGGGACCAAAGATTTACACATAAGGTACGTCTGACCCCCTTTCCCTGCTGTTGCTGGTTTGGGGAAAGCTGCTACTCCCTAAGCTGCAAGACAGAGCCGACCCCCTTGGTCAAACTGTACCTTTTCTTCTTACCCCACCTCGTCAATAGAAACGCGAACAGTCAACGATCCGCCGGACGTTCTGGACAGGCAGAAATGCCTAACTGCCTTGGCGTCCCTCCGCCACGCCAAGTGGTTCCAGGTTTGCATTCACGTCCTTATTTGTACGAACTGTTTGAATGGTCTCTCTTTATAATCTATTTCGTGACAGTAACACTTTTAAAATTTGCTCTCAGTTGTTGTTGATGTTTTCCATATTTTATGCAAGGAGAAAGTGTGTCGAAAAATTTCAAAATTTTACTTATTAACTCATGAAGAGTGATCTGCTGATCAATACTAATGACACATTTCATTAAATCATTGGTATTGACATAAGGCATGCACTGATTGACAGCTGATTTTCGCCTTGTTGACTGTCATTAGCCTATTGGCAAATAAGATGATACTCACCGATGGCAGTGGCTGATGTTTTTCTGTTGTCACATCAGTTTTGCTTAGGCTATAAATCAGGACTTCAGACTATCATCCCGGGGACAATAGAAACGTGTTAGGGATGAACAGAGCTCTTCCCCGGGACACCTTTAGGAGGAAAGGACACAGTAAACACACAGTAAAAGTTGACACATCTGGGACACAGCCTATTTTTTCCCCGATAATGCTACAATGTGAACAACAAATTTGTGCTGAAACTGGCAGGAGAGCCTGTTAACATTAGCTGTTATTTGCTGGTGGCCGAAAACTAACAGCTAATGTAAGTTGCACTGAGTTACATTATGATGGGTTCAAGCTCTATTCAGTAAATATGAGTATCAAGGCTCATATATACCCCCTTTATGTACGGAAATAGATAGGTAAACGTCACTGCCTTTTTACTTTTATGTGTCTTTAATGATGGCATAGATATAGTCAATAGATGGCACTAGAGGGCAGTCAAAAGTTTCAGTTGTGAAACAAGGCAATGGTGGAGGTGGTCGTAATATTGTACCTTCAAAAAGAGGCAGTGTTGTAGACAGCGGTGGTCTGTGTAGCCATTATATACATCCCGACATGTGGACGGAGAATTCTTTTCACTATATAACAGACATGGTCAGTTCTGCCATTTTTTAAATTTCTGCGCCGTTTCCTACAGTTGTATTTCATTTAAACTGCGCTACACTGCCTCCACAATCTCCGGTGGTACTGCTCCGTTTTGTCTTTATCTATAAGTTTTCAGAAAACGTGTACAATACGGATAAAATGAACGCAGAGTCTGGAAAGAAAGCTTCGTCTATCTCTGTCTCCCATGTCTAGCGTCAAGCATAAATGAGTCTGTAGGTGAAGGTAATTATAACTTAATCATAATGTTCAAATGAAATTTTGAAAAAAGAGTTTTTGGCTTGAAACTAAACTAAAACAAATACAGTTGTCTGAAGGAGAAATTTCTTGATGTTTTCACAGTAATATAAAACAGATATTAGAGAGGGAATTATGATATATATTGTAAAAAGGCTTTTGAAGCAGTTGTTATTGTAGTGAAGGACTCAAAGACTTTCAATCAGTTAATTTATCTTTTTATATGAAGGTTTCAAAATAAACAACATCAACAAAAAACATTGGTACCAGCTGTCGGCCAAATTGTTCAGTATTTGTATCGGCACAGAATTTTACAATCAGTGCATCCCTAATCGACACCAGCATATAATTTAATTTACAAAATGTTCTCTGTCAGACTGAGCTCTCTCTATATCACCTGTTTGTGAAAAGTCTTTTTCTTTTGTCCACAACAAACAGCACGTGGACAAAAAATGTGTCATATATTTTGTTGATTTGGAGATTGCTCAGGTGGTCTGATCTGTCTGTGCTTTGTTTTTTGGGGTCGTTATGTGGAACCTCAGAGCACAGGGCCGAGGTGACGTCCTCTGACTGAACTGGCTTTTGTTTGTGTCTCCAGGCCAAAGTGAACAACCTGACTTCTGCTGTCATTGTGATCCGGATCATGAGAGACCTATGTAACCGCGTTCCTACATGGACGCCACTCTCCGGATGGGTGAGGACACTGTGGTTGCACCTGTTGCAGCTAAGATGTAGTTGTGTATAAACCATAAACAGTATAAAGATGGAGAACGCATCTCTACTTACTTCCTCTGTCACTGTGATGTCATTTGGAGCCAGAGTCTGTGGTAGCGATCTCCATGTTATCGTGTTCCCACCCATACACCTGTCCAACCAATTGAGAGCAGCAACATTTTTATAGTATCAAATAACTAGTTCTATCCAAACTTATAAGAAAAACAAACACTTGAACATACATCAGTGTGGCATGAACTATCTAAAATGACAGACATTTATTTGACGTGTAGCTATGCCCATGTCCCATCCACTAACATGGAGGGGGCGAGGGCAATTGAGACGTCGTGGCTTCACTTTTGGGGAGCTGTCATGTCCTCCATCTTTATCACACAGTCTATGGTTGAGACCAGGCTTATTTTTGGCACCTTCTCTGTAGCTCTTTGATTGATTGACCCTAGCTTAGATCTTGATCTTGAGTCCATACTCTGTGCTCTTGTCTCCACACAGCCTCTTGAACTGCTGGTGGAGAAGGCTATTGGTACATCTGAGAGACCAATGGGAGCAGGCGAGTCATTGCGCAGGGTTTTGGAGTGCATTGCATCTGGAATCCTCTTGCAAGGTGACCTTTCATTATCGAGTTGTTAAACTAGTATGGATATTTATACTCTTGGATTAACATAAATACACTAATTTAACTGTATCTGTGCAAAGACGGCCCTGGAATGAAAGACCCGTGTGAGAAGGAAACAGTCGACGCCGCTGCATGTCTGACCCTACAACAGCGTGAAGACATCACCCAGAGTGCTCAGGTAAGAAGAGGTGGCTCATACATGCACCCTGTACACGTTTTTGGATATAGTACCTAACTTGCTCTGTGATTTTTTTTTTTAGTTTGCCTTGAGGCTGTGTGCATTTGGACAAATGCACAAGGTGTTGGGGATGGACTACAAACCTACAAAGCCACGGAAATCAGCAGGAGGCAGCAGAGATGGCACAGGTACCTATTGATATCTGCATTTCCCCCTTTTTTTTTTAAAATGAAAAACGTTCATGAAACGATCTGTTCTAAGGCTTGTGTCTGTTATTTGATGCAGCCCAGATAACACCTGCTGGACACTACAACTTACCATCAAAGAGACCTTACACAGAGGTGGAGAAAGAAGGGGAGGAGCCACAACTCAACAGCAAACAGAGGAAGTTTCTCAAGTTCCAGAAGCGCTTTCCAAGGAAATCATGTCAGTACTGAATATCAGATGTCCTGCTATAAGCTGAGCCTTTTTACTGTTAAATGAGCTGTGGATATTTTATTTAAGTCTTTTCGTTAACTCTATGACACAACTTGAACCTGACTAGGGATAAAATGGTATGGTAATATCATGATTATGGTGAGCAAAATTGTCACACTAATGTTAAATGTGCTGAAACACACACTGGAATCATCTCACTAAGTTTTTTATTGAAAATCAGTATGGTTAGTTCTATGTACTTTTTGTTTGCATCAACATTCAAATATTAACATATTCAGTAACTTATGTGAACATAAAACCGTATCAAATGTGCATTAACATTAAAGATAGCCTGTCTTTGAAAATGCTTGCGTGAGTGTCTGTGTCACTGTAGATGAGGACAAGGGACCAGTAGCATCACTGGGTTTGCCTGCTGCACGCCCAATCTGAAAACAAAGGAAAAGCGGAACAAGCCCATGTTGCATGCTGCGCCTGTGCGCCCGCGTCTGGGAGACTGTTGCCAACGTTGGTCGATGCTCAACAGCATTTACCGTGAGTTTTCTAAGCGCGTTAATAAAACACGGTTTTGATGATAACGACAATTTGAAACGGTAACAACATACGTCTGCAAATTTACAGCAGTTTAATGTGAATCCGGTCACCGTTACATCCCTACACCTGCCATTTTATATCGTCAGTTCTACCGAGCTTATTTAAAAGACACTAAGCAGGGGTTAAAGTGGGATTTGGCTGGTGGGGAACCCTATGATCCGATGCAGCGGTAAAGTGGTGGAAAATGATGCACCTCAGAATAACTCCCGAATTGATTTGTACTGTGAGCTCCGGTGGATTGTTGTCTTTGTGGACAGGCAATGTGATCAGCTGACCGTCTTTAAGGCTGCTGTGGCTCTTGGCTGCATTTTATTATGTATTAGCAGATGTAACAGGGGCTGTCGTGCTATCATGGCTGCTTTGCCTTATCCATAGTGAAAAAGTTGGAATTTGGCAAGTGATACTAAAGAGCAATATTGGCTTAAATTCAAATTGATGGCTGCTACCCTTGACCTAACCTACCAGTGACCATGGATACCACAGCCTGCCCTGCACCAGGCCAAGTTAGTCCATTACTTTACAGTAACTTCACCAGGTACTGCAAACTACCCAGTTAAGCCTGCATTTGTTCTCACACAGTCTTTGAATAACACACAACAATTATTTAATTTATATTCAGACATTTCACAATGATTAACTTAAATAACACATCATGTACATATCCACTGTCTGTTTAAAATGAATGGCATTACTTCTGCAAGCTTTAAAGGAGCAGTGTGTATAATTTAGGGAGATTTAGTGGCATCTAGTGGTGAGGATTGCAGACTGCAACCAGACAAAATTTCTCGTAGGATTCATTCAGTGTTCATTATTTGGGATGTTTTTACCGGGAGCCGAATTATCTGTAGCGAGCGTGTTCTCAAGAACAAGCAGACCCGGTGATTTAAATCAGTTTAATGTTACAAATCTGTTTCTCCGATGCTGCTCGAAATGTTGCAGATGGGCCACTTGCCCAGGTCCTGCTAATACGTGCTCACCTATTTCCTCTGATAACTTATGTGTGCTCACCTTACTTCTGATCCGGGCGTTGAAGCAGTTTTTACCATGAGCCGAATTATCCTCAGAGGTCTCTTCCTCTCCAAAACAAATGGACTCGGTGATTTAAACTGAGTTTCACGTTACAAATTGGGGGTTTCTTTGACCCTGTTTGGCAGATTGCAGACAGGCCGCTAGCCCATAACCTGCTAATGTGTGTTCACCTGTTTTTCTGTGATAACTTAAGATCTGAACGTTCAGGATTTTATTTTATTTATTTTTTTCGTGAGCCAAATTATCCGCCGGGGTCTCTCTCTCTCCAAAAACAAACGGATCCTGCGTTTTAAAGCAGTAAAACGTGGAATAAAGCAGTTTCATGCTTAAAGATCTGTGGTTTTCTGAACATCACAGAGGGGCTGCTTACTACGGTGGCTGACGCGAAAAGGCGACTGGCCTTATCAGAAGCCAGTGTTTGGTTTGTCCATTCTGGACTACTATAGAAGCATGGCGGTGCAACATTGTGATCTCGGTGGGAGAGGACCCGCTCCCTATGTAGATATGAACAGCTCATTCTAAGGTAAGGAAAACATAGCAGGTTTTATTTTCAGGTGATTATACACTAAAGAAAACATACTTATCCGTATACGTATCCCCCTAAATCCTACACACTGGACTTTAAAATTTCTTCAAGTTTATCTAAGCAGTCTTACCCTTGAAAATGATGTGTATCTTTCCTCTCCTGTCCTCTCTTTCTTCTATCTTCCTTTATCTTTGAGAGTGAAGTAATTGCATATTAATGTTAATAATGTACTTTCTAACTGGGGAATACTTATCCCAGTTTAAGGGCTCTTTATGCTCCCTATGATGAGACACTGACAGCGAGCGCAGACAGACCAGGGGAGGAGGGCCCTTGTAGGACATTCCAACACAGCCAGTCCGGATTGTAATTACTGTGCCCAGGCTATCTTAGTGGCCAACACTGCTTGCAATGTCTGTCAGGAACCCCCATAGCAGTGCCCCCTCCCTTTGGTCTGAAGCACTGAGGCAGCCAAACACCTGTACCAGTAGCTAGCAAGAGACAGATAGCTTTACTGCACTAAATATTTCTTGAGCCTGGTTTGAAACTTTGACTTTAAAAATCCCCCACCACTTCAGATAAACAGCAACTCTGTTCACACTTGCTCCTCCTCTGTAGCTAGCGAGATGCTGACCGCAAGTTTATCGACATCTGCACGTGCAATGTGTGTGACATTACTATCTGGTTTGTTGAGTGAGTATCTTAATGGCATCAACTGGTAGGAACTTACTGCTGCAGCATATGAAAATTAACTTGCTTGATAGTGATATATATAAAACTGCCAATAAGATGTATTTAGTTATTAATCCAAAGTGGCTGAACACTGCGGCAGATTATTTCCTGCCAACTTTAACCCCTGACTGTAAGTGTAATTTCATCTAGCTCTTTCTGTTTTCTATTTAATTTAATGTAATTTTTGACAGTTAGTACTAGTTTACAACCCCAATTCCAAAAAAGGAAAATGAAAATAAAAACCGACTGTATGATTTACAGATCCTTTTTGATATATATTCAGTTGGATACAGTTCACAGACAAGATATTTAATATTCAAACTGATAAAGTTTATTGTTTTTCATAAATATACACTCATTCTTAGTGTGATGCCTGCAGCATGTTTCAAAAAGGTATGGAGAAGGACCACGTTTACCACTATGGTACATCACCTTTTCTTTAACAACACTCACAAAGTGTAAGTAAGTGTTTAGGAACTGGGGACACTAATTGTTGAAGTTTTGAAAGTGAAATTCTTTCCCATTCTTGCTTAATGAACGACTTGAGTTGTTCAACAGTCCATTGTACTTGGCATTTCAATGGGAGTCAGGTGTGGACTGCAGACAGGCCTGTCTAGTGCCTGAACTCTCTTATTACAAAGCCACACTGTTGTAACAGGTGCAGAATGTGGCTTGGCATTGTCTTGCTGGAATAAGCGAAGACATCTGTATGGCAGCATATATTGCCCTAAAACCTGTGCGTACTTATCAGCAGTCATGGTGCTTTCACAGATGAGCATTATACTCATGATGCCATGAGCATTAACACAGCCCCATACTATCAGAGATGCTGGCTCTTGAACTTTGTGCTGGTAACAGTCTGGATGGTCCTTTTCCTCTTCAGTCCGGAGGACATGACATCCATGATTTCCATAAATGATTTGAAATGTGGACTCCTCAGACCACAGCACACTTTTTCACTTTGTGTCACTCTATCTTAGATGAGCGCAGGTGCATAGAAGTCGGCCATGTTTCTGGGTGTTGTTGATATTTGGCTTTCATTTGCAAAAATTTGTGGATGCAGCCATGAGCTGTATTTACCAGCAGTGTTTTTTTTTCAAAGTGTTCCTAAGCCCATGTAGTAAAATCTCATATACAGTCATGTTGGTTTTTAAAGCAGTGCCCAGGTCACAGGCATTAAATGGTTGTTTTCAGCTTTGCCCCCGTGCAGACAGTTCTGCGGATAATCTGTTTTTTTGTATTCATGTATATATTTTAAGATTAGTCTTTAGGGCTTTTGTAGAACAGCTGGTCTTGATCTTCTGGTGGATTGTAGATAGTGAAATCATGTTACTCATGGAATGTTCAGGGTTGTTTCTGTTTTCAGAGTATTCCACATCTCTTCCAGTCTTTTGTTGCCCTTGTCCCAACTTTTTTTAAATGTGTTGCAGGCATCAAACTCAAAATCAGTGTGTATTTACAAATAATAAAGTTTCAGTGTAAATATTAAATACTCTATCTTTGCACCATATTTAATTAAATATAGGCTGAAAATTATTTGCAAATCATTCTGTTTTTATTTGTTTACACAGTGTCCCGATTTTTTTGGAATCAAGGTTGTACTATATATGCACATCTGCATGCACTGAGGTGCTGGTTAATTATGTGCAATTAGCTAAATCTAATGCACTTGTACATCTGTACCTAATAAATTTGCAGTACAATATATATAATTACTGAAAGAAATGATGGCAGAGCAGCAGGTTTTTATATTTTGGTACATTTCTCAAGTAAATAGCTCAGAAGCTATCGTCTAATAATCAGTTAGTTTTGCTTCTGTTGAAAAATTCCCCAAATTATTGTAGTTTTAAAGTATTAAAGGATAGATTTGTATTTTTACAGTGACCAAAAACTGTCTCCTGTAACCGTGTCCTGTTAGTATATTACATCAATCACATAGTGTGTGAGTATACAGCCTTGGTGTCAACAGTATGACCTCAACTGTCTTAGACCATAGGAATAACATGTATGAATTTGAAAACTGGTCAGAGTTCCCCTTTAACTCTCCCAGCACAACAGGAACCTTGCGAGACATATGTGTTCGGTGAGCCAGTGCAGCACTGGCAACCACAACTGGGGCAGACACAACAAAACTGGGTCACAGCCATGGCAGCTGGAACACCGCACAGCTGTTTGTTGTTTTTTCCAAGCCAATTTCAAAATAGCTTGCGGCCTCTACCAGCCAATTGAGAGGAGTGAGGAGTCAGCAGTGAATGATGGTATAAAACAGTTGATAAGACAAGTTTTCCAACAACTGAATCACGGCAACAAAAAGAGATCCTTCAGCATGCAGTGCACACAAAATATGAAGCTGATTAGTCCAGTAGTATTTGAGATTAGCTGCGGACAGAATGATACACTCACACACACAACCAAACACAGGATCCCTTCGAGCCTTACACCTGGTGGAAATTTTTTTAGAAAGCCCTAAAAGGTGTGTCGGTCTCAGCGGAGCTCGTCAGTGAACAGTTCTGCTCAGGGAGTCCCCAGAAGTGTTTGGTCTGAACACCTGTTGCAGCCCCTGTTCTCTTGAGACACTGAGCTCTCAGCTGCATGTGTTGTTTTTTATTAAACTGTGAAATGAAAAACAGTGTAGAGTTCACAAGTTCTCCCTGAGTCAGCATGGGTTCTCTCTGGGTTCTTCAGCTTACTCCCACAGTCAAAAGACATACAGGTTAGGTTAATTGGTGTCTCTAATTTGCCCGTAGGCGTGAATGTGAGCATGAACAGTTTTCTGTCTCTATGTGTAAGCTCCAGTCCCACCGTGTCCTTGTTCCAGCATCAGCTATGAATAATGAATGGATCAGGAATTTTGAGAGAGAGAAAATTCTGACAAATAACTTTTTTGGATTAATCACATTTGTTTGTTAACACATATGTGATGGCTCATATTTCTCTTTCTGCCTTTTCTCCATCTGTTCTTTTCTCTTTAGTCACAGATGATTTTAGCATGAATGCCGTGATGCGTCTGAACCAGTACAGACCTGGCCTGGAGTACCGACTCACCTCTCAGACCGGTCCAGTCCACGAGCCAGTCTTCACAATGGCCGTGGATGTAAATGGGAAAACCTACGAGGCAACGGGGCCCTCCAAACGAGCTTCAAAGCTGAATGTAGCCACCAAGGCAAGACTCTTGTATTTCTATCTACAGAGGTTTCCATGAGTTGCTTTACTATAAAAACAAGTTTCCTAAGTAGCCTGCAAGGCATCCAGTGTTGTGCTGTAGCGATGTGTTAATGATAAACCTGTCTCTGACCTCTCTGTTGGTGAATTTCTGTTGTAATTTACTGATTGGCTCCCATACTTCACACATCTCTTCAAAAAACTAAACCCTAATATTTAAGGCTTTTAAATTGTTTCATGACCCAGTTTAGGATTAAGGAACATTTGCCTGTTGTGATTTTTGACAGCTTGTGTTCACCATTACAGCTCACACCGGGCATGTGAATGAAGGAAAGAGTTGTTAATGTTTGGACTTTGCAATTCACAGGTCCTGCAGGATCTCGGCCTTCCGACAGGCTCAGAATCTAAACCAGAGTCGACTGGTGATGGTGAAGGAACCCAGGAATTAGTGAAAGCTGCTAGCACGGTCTCTACTACATCAGAAGATGTATGTACCCCAGTTCCTCCTTCTTTTTAAAACTTCCATACAATTAAGTCATCTCAGCATTTGTTTTCCTTAGAGAGAAAAAAGTGATGTTTTTGAGTAAAGAGTTTGTAATCATGTGTTTAACAGCCATTGTTTGTCTATTTGTAATACACAGAGCGGTCAGGGTCCTATCTTGACCAAACATGGCAAGAACCCTGTGATGGAGCTGAATGAGAAGCGCCGCAGCCTGAAGTACGAGCTGTCTGCAGAGACGGGGGGCTCCCATGAAAAGTGCTTTGTCATGGAGGTGAGTCAGCAGTATCACTTGCATGAAACAAAACCAATAGGATAATCAAAAGGTTTCTGTGTTTCTTTTATATGCTTTGCCTTTCAAGTGTTTAGTGAACAAATTAAATCAAGTCCAGTCCTATCAGGCATCAGTGTAGGGTACCCATCTACACAGAGCCCATGTCACAGGTGTAATGTTGATTTAAGGGACATCAGTTTTGGTTAATTTTGCATTTGTTAGCCTGACGCCCTTTAATTATTAGGGGAAAAAATGCAAAATGACATGAAAATTAAATACAAGAGGCCTCTCCTTTTAGTCTGACGCTACATTGACTAAGTGAGCTTTAGCATGACATTTCAAAGCACTATCCATTTAGAGGTGATGAAATTTTAATGTTTTGTGATGTCAGTGTTTTGCCTTTTGTTAATTTTCTGTTGGCTTTGCTGACAGACAGCTGGCTAGCTGCTTTAACGTACGGAAACATTCTACTCACTACCCACCCCTCCACTGGTTAGCCAACGTAAGTCTTGGCCACCTTGCACTGTGCACCAACCAGGTTGGGTTGGAGCTAGCTGGCGCTGCCATTCATTTGCGATTACTGCTGGTAACACCATCCAGGTTGTGGGTCGACATCACTGTGGCAACATGATGGCCACCCTCCGCTGGTAACCCCTGTGAATAATCAGCGACATTTTGAGCCTCAAAACCCCTTTGACACTGTTAACTATGTTAGCCACTAAATGCGGCTAAATATTGAGCTGCTTACTCACCAGGGCGACTTGGGTGGAGACTGGAGGGTAGGCACAATGTTTCCACAGCAACACTGTTGGGTTGGGATGCCTTTACTAGCAGTAAGTGCCACCTCCCACCTGACTCGGCTGGTGCAAAGTGCAGAGCAGCCAAGGCTAGCTAATCAATGGTGACTGGTATCTGGGTGGTGGGCAATATGTTTCCGCATGTGCAGAAAACTGAAGAGCAGCAAAATTAACCTATAGACAGACATATGTAACTAGTCAGAAATATTCCTGACAGTAATGCATGTAAGTTTTAAAAGGGTAAAATGCTGACGAGCTATTTTTTTCCTGTCTATCAGGTGGAGGTTGATGGACAGAAGTTCAAAGGGAGAGGCTCAAATAAGAAGGAAGCAAAGGCCTATGCTGCCCTCGCTGCTCTGGAGAAGCTGTTTCCAGATGACAATGGAGTGTCAAATGCCAACAGAAATCCTTTAAAGAAGAAGGTCACTTACACCGACATGGTAATTTATCTAGTTTATAATGTGATCTATGGTTTATGTAGTGAATACTGCTGACCTCGAACCCTCAAACCATCAGGGTCAGCATACTTTCTTGCTTAAAAGCATTTGGTCCTCACACAAAATCTTTTGCTGTTACCTGCTCTACAGCACATCCCAGGGTTTGGCACTATCCGTGGCATTCCCTCAGACTCCGGGACTCGGGGCTGGGGTCCCCACAGAGGTCGAGGCAGGGGCCGAGGCAAACAGTTTCCTGCAGGACCCAGCTATAACAAGAGTAAAGAATTTTGCACTCACTTGGTGTCGCCCTGGTCTTACAAAGACGATATAAGATCCTTTTAATATGCTTCATATACATGTAAGGAAATCAATTAAATTGTGATTTATTTCCTTTATTTTAAAAGCCAACTACAGTTATGAGAGCGGCACTGGCGCAGGCTATCGTAAGTATATGCTACTCCCCAAAATACACTCATATCCCTAAAAATTACAGCAAGATTCTTCTCCAGTCGCACATTGAAACTGATTGTACATTGCTCTTGATTCATCTGTCTTTTAGATAAACTGTATGGTAACAGTGCAGCCGGCAATGCAGCCAAAGGCGCTGGCCCCACTGGATCAGGTGGCAACAGCGGCTACGGCACCTTTTACCCAGAGGGCAGCAACACCTACGCCTCCCCACGCATCTCTGGCTCCGATTCAGGCAACATGAAGGGAGAGAGCTACCAGTCGATGCCTCCTCCCGCCGACCAGGAGAGCCCCTACAGCTACGGGTATGGAGATGAGAAGAAGAAGATGCTGACCCAGGGTCAGAACGAGGGCCAGGGAGGAGACTACTCTATGTACAGCACGGCGTACCCCAGCTCAGTGACAGGTGGCCAGACATATAATAACTATGGTGAGTAAAACTGTAGCAAGTTAAAATCCACCCCTGCAATCACAAAAAAAACTGCTTGTCTCTTCGTCTCAGTTCCAATACAACCTTGCCCTCACCACTCAGCCATTACCCCTCCATTTTGTGCGTTCACATCCAGGGGTGGGGTTTCCTGATTGTTGTCATGGCCCACCAAACAGAGACACACTCCAAACCAAGTTTAATGAGAAATCATGTGCAAGTAGTGTGACCCAGTCCGCATCAGATACATAAAATAACATCTTCTGATTTGATCTTGCTTTACAGGCTGGGGAAACCAGTCGTCATGGGGGAACCAGCAGGGGTATCAGGGGTACCAGGGCTTTGGAGGACAAAATGACAGTTCCTACTCTGGATACGGCGATATGAATTACTAACCATCACATCGTGTACAGCCTTTCACATCTAACTATGCCACCTTTTGACTCTGTCCACCCTTGATGATCATGCTCCTCGCATAAAGGTTCTGAAAAGGAAAAAAAAAGTGGTTGTGTTGTCTCTGAAACTGGATTTTTATTTTCAACTCATTTGTTAGTTTTACAGTTGTGGGTGACACAGTTGCAGGCTTTTCTTTTGATTTAAGTCCACCTGTTTTATTTTAACCGCAGCGTGTCTTTCATGCCTGTGTTGACATGAGTGTAAAAATACCTGGTTTGTCATCATGTTATGTTTCTGGAGTTGTTGTGTTTTTTAATCTAGACAACCGGATCTGTATCAGTGTGTTGTGGTTTTCATTTAAAGCTGCTTGTAGTTCTGAACTGAAGGTTTATTTCTGTCATGTAAAATGCTTTGTTCTTTCTTGTAAAATAAATGACTCTTATTTTGAAGTCAAGTTTACCATCAGTTTTGCTTTTTCAACGACAATACAAAGTTGCTTTAGTTGAGTTTTTAGACCTTCTCAGTTACTGTGGATGGATGGAGCTCTGATTTTGAATGCCACAGGTCAGGTGAGAGTTGGGCTACCATTTGTTCATTATGAATTGTGTCTTCAAAGCTATGAAAACTAGGGCAACTTGAGCTTCCCTTAAAAATGCCGAGCGTATTCCTCACATTGGTGTTGCTGGAACATTTTGCAATACCCACAAGTGCAGTGAATGGTTTCTGCAGCCTATGCAGAAACCATTCATCACGTAGCATGCATGGTCTGTATCAGGTATGCTCAAAGTCCATTATGGCCCCAGAGTGATTTTATACAGCCCAAAGCTTGTCTCTTAAAATATACTACATATGTCCTGCCTTATAATATATAATACGCTGCATTTTGTCCTTTCACAATGGCAGGACTATCAGTCACTTTGTAGGCATGCACCAAGTAAGAGCTACACAGGTGGAACTAATGTGTTTTCATAAGATGGTAAACAAGCAAATGAGAAGTTACCTAACAGCAGACATTTCCTGCTAGGTGACAGACATGGCCACAGCAATGAAGCATGAGGTTGACAGTGATGGCTGCTTTTTACTGACAGATGGAACAGTTGTGTTTGCCTCATTTCTGTGTAATTTTTTTTTAAACCCATATGTGAGAATCAACTGCCCCCAGGCATTTTCACATTATCTAATGTTGCCCCCCTTCAGAACAGTCTGGACACCCCTGGTCTATATCCACAGCTATGTGGCTTTCAATGATTAGAGGAAGCCTCACTGACTCTTGTGAAGAAATACAGTAACTGTAATTGCAAAGGTTCATCAGAGAGAAAATGCACAAGCACACACATGAAATATAAAATACTTCCACTTTCAAGATGTAGAAAAAAGTGAATGCACCTACACTGTAGAGCTAAAACTTGCAAACCCAAATGAATACTATAAATTACATCCTTTCTGCAGATTAAATACTAACATAAAAAGAAGGCTGAGATATCCTGACTCTTGTTCCCTCGTATGAGTCGATCTCAACAAACATAAGGTCCTACATTTCCCACAGTGCCACTTGCATCTTGTAGACTTCCCTGCCTAATAAGTGCATGTTTCAAACTCCACACCAAGAGTTTGTAATGCAGGCTTTCTGAGCTAACCCTGATGACATCACTATGACATCATTTGGGTTAATTTTTCAAACTTCTGAAAGCCACAGAGGACATGATACAACAGAGTCCTGCACGGGTCTGATTTACAAGACCAGCTACTGAACCAGCACCACGACATGCAATACTGCACCTGCCCCGCCACCGGCACATATGACCGAGTATTTCTGCAATCCGACCAGACCTTTGAACACAGAATCTGAAGCCTGACCTGAAACTGCAAATCCTATAACAACCATGCACTGTTTAAATAGGTCAGTTAGGCAGCACGTGTAAAGAGACAATTTCAGTACATTTCATGCATGTGACACTAAGATTATATATTTTAAAACAAAGGTCATTATGGAAATCCTATTTAAATCTATATTGTTTATAGATTGTATATTCTCATAATATTGAGCAGTGCATCTCCACAGTTAACGTGCCTGTTGTTAAAGCATCTCTCATGTTCCAAGCTGACACACAAAGCCAGCCGTCAGAGGATTAAAACAATAAAACAATTACTTAATTCAGTTTTTTTAAAATCTATTTAATACTTTTATTATTAATCACCCAATATCCAATCTGCATGTTCTTTGTTTTACCCAGAACCAAGCCCGCAAATAAAATTTAGACAAAATACCACCCATGCATCACCTTTATTGTGGGTCACCTGACCCGATGCAGTACTATATACAACTGTATTTACAGGCTGAGTCGTTCTTCTTCAAACAAGTTAAATAAACTTCATGTGCAAAAAAAGGAGGAGTGCTCCTTTATTCAGGCCTGCCTGTGTGAGCAAGATAACAAATGAGTAGATTCTGAACGTTGCTGTTATCTGCATTGGCGTGCATGCATGTAAAAATTTGTCTTCGACTGATAGCTCGATGTAGGGCTGCAAAAAGCACATTTACAGTTTATAATTTACCATCAGTGGCCTTCTTGCTGTTCAACAGATATTATAAGGTAAGTCCTGTTTTCAGTTGAATAGAAGGAATTAGTGAGAACCCAAGTTTAATAACACACACACACACAAAAAAAAACACCAAACAAAATACAAGCAAGACTTCTTATTCCCAAATTATCTTAAAAGATAGAAGCACGGAGACAGAATAAAATGAAGAAGGAAAACAGTGATTAACACTGAAGTGGAAAAGTGGAGTCTGGACACCAGCTATAATAACCATTGCGGATCACATGTGGTACAGATGACCCTGCAGTCTCAAGACTGAGTCAGGGTGTGAGCAATGATCATGCCCCTGCGGCGTGTCTCAGGGCTGGTCGTCCTGCAGCCTCTCCTCCACAAATACTGATAAAAGGCGGCAGGAGGTGCGCCGCGAATACGGAGAGTGTCCCATCAGGTCATCCTGAGTACATCTAACCAGTTATCAGCTGTGAGTTTTGTCTTTATCTTTAACTGTCTGACATTTTTATCTCTGCACACTGACATCTACTCTGGGAAAGTTGTGTTTCTTGTCAGCTTTGTTTTCTTTATGATGGGGGAGGATGGAGATGTTAGATACTGTGAGCAGAGTGTCTTATTTAAAAGAGGCAGCAATGCAATGATATGCTCTGACAGACATGAAACTGTGACCTCTGACCCTCTCAGCCTCATGGACATGGCTGCTTTGATTAGCTTCTATTAGCTCCAGCTGGGGCATGTCTGCTTCAGGCTGCAGCCAATCACAAGTCATCTTTAGGCATAAAAGCATGAGATCAGGTTGTTGTGTAGAGAAGTTGGAAGCAAAGAGGAAGCGTAGGCTTACACGCTTGCTGCAGCTGCAGCTGTGGTTTGTTTCTGTGTTGTTCGTGTGCTGACTTTCATTTTTGGTTATGGCTAAATGTCTTGTTCTCCATTTGAGCTGTTCAGTTCTGCTGCTAACTGTCTGATTGTGTTTGTCTCTCTTTAAAGATGGTGCTAACACTCATATCCATCTTAATTGCTGCCATTCCTGTGGCCTATTGCTATCCTGCTGCCTTTGAGGACCTGGGGGCAACCAGCAGTAAGTATCACCCCACATGGGCTCTCATAATCTTTGAAAGTCATTGTCTTTGTATCTGTGTGAGGCCTCTCAGACTGTCAGCTCTTAAGGTTTAATTTAAGGTTTTGTTTCCTGTACAGCAAACCGAACCTCAATCAAATTCCTGGCTGTAGGAGACTGGGGTGGAGTGCCGTATCCCCCCTATGTCACCGCTGTGCAGAAGGCTACTGCTCGAGAAATGAGCAAAATAGCAGAGCAGATGGGATCTGACTTTGTTCTGGCCCTTGGCGATAACTTCTACTACAAAGGTGTGGACAGTGTGGATTCTCCTCGGTTTCAGGTCAGTTGAGTTAACTATCTTCTAAAATGATTTTAAAAATTACTGATTTTAAAGCATCATCGTGGAAGTAAAAACCCTGTTTTCTGCTGAATTTACCAGGAAACTTTTGAGTCTGTGTACACGGCAAAGTCTCTCCAAGTCCCCTGGTATGTGCTTGCTGGCAATCATGACCACGCAGGGAACGTCAAAGCCCAGATCGACTACAGCCACAGATCTAACAGATGGTAAGGGCCAACTTAAAGGGTTACGTTGGTATTTTTGTTTTAACCTGGACCCTATTGTCCCATGTTTTATATGTAAGTGAAAGTTTATTTGTTGTGGTACTGAGCAAGGGACATAGGCTCCAATGTAGCTACTTGTTGGTCTTGCACTGTCAGTTTTCATGCTTGTTTTTGCCACTGAAGACTCGGATTACTCAAGTGTAGGACAGCATGGAAAGGATCCCTAAAGAGACCTTTTTGTTAAAGAGCAAGAGCCTTTTTGTTAAACCAGAATTTGCCATCGTTGCCCTCAAACACACCAGACTCCATTTTAAATAAACAGTAATCTAAGGGTTTAGAGCCAGCATGTTTTTACATCTAATTGGGTGAATTAAGGGTTTATTTCATCCAAACCAGAGTTGGTCATTGTTTGAACAGTGGAACAATGAACCAAGCTGTCTACTTTAATAAAGTGTTTTACAACAATAAAATTACTATTTATTTAAATGGAGTCTATCTGGTTAAACAAATGTCTTCAGTCTTTAAAATGGGTCGGTCTCTGTAAGAATCCTTTCCATAATGTGACACTTGGAACAATCTGAGCCTGTAAATGGCAAAAACAAGCACTTTATTGGACGTACACTGACTGTGCTCAATTGCCTGCAGGGATTGCATTGCAGCCTTTTTTGCTGTTCTAACTTAACACTGGGCCAATTTCAGAAATTGCTGCGATTTTAGTTACTTGGACACAAACATGGGGAAATAGCAGTCAGGTTGAAAATGTTTCTAAATGTTTGTGTTTGAAATGTTCTCAAACGGTCACATTCTCCATTACCTTCTTAGGAAGTTCCCCGCTTACTACTACGAGCTGAACTTCCACATCCCCAACACTGGGAAGACACTGACCATCATCATGCTCGACACCATAATGCTGTGCGGTAACTCTGACGACTTTGTGGATGAGAAGCCCAGAGGCCCCCTGCGTGCCGTGGATGCCAACCGTCAGCTGGCGTGGCTGCAGGAGAGACTGGCTCAGTCCAAGGCAGACTTCCTGTTGGTGGCCGGACACTATCCTGTGTGGTCTGTGTCTGAACACGGGCCCACAGAGTGTCTCCTGCATCGGCTTCATCCTCTGCTCATTAAGTACAAGGCCACTGCTTACCTCTGCGGTCATGACCACAATCTGCAGGTTGGTTCATGCACTGAATGATTTTTTTTTTTTTTTTTGGTGTAAATCTGCAACAATGCTTTGCCTTTAATCCCATCTAATCCTCCATACAGTACATTGAAGAGTCCGGTGTTGGCTACGTGG